GGCAGCTGGCTGGCTCTTGTGAGATCAGGCAACTGGACTGAGGGCGCCACTTCTATTCATTCAATATGTGAATTTACCTTGAATTGATGAATTGCAATTAACGTTAACTCCTCTGCATGTTTCCCTTTCATTACATAAAAAACCAGAGTTTAGCACGAACTACCTGGGGTCCATAAGGACTGAGCAGTAGATAAATTCTACACATAAATAAAGAAAATTAACTCTCTGGAACTCTGTCAAGGATAGCAAGAGGGCTGGGGAGCTGTTGCTCAAAACGTGGAAGAGGCCAGAATTCTGCAAATTTATTTTTTCTGGGACAAGAACGGTGACAGAGTCGGGTCTGGGTCAGGAAGATGCTCTAGCTGAAGTTATCAAGTTATTTATAAACTAATAAAGAGGGGGGGATCAAATAAATACAGGTAGTCCTTGACTTATAATAGAGACAGTTTGAAGTTCGGAGAATTATGGCCATTTTCCACACCACCGATTCGGGCAGTTGAGGGACTCTTCTGGGAAAACGCGCCCCCTCCAAAGACACCCCAAAACAGCGCTTCTGGCCAGGAAAGGGATTGCGGAGGCTCCGCGGACCCTTCCCCGCGGAGAATCGCCGCCCGCCGTCCCGCTCCGCGCGTCCGCACGAGGGGCCGAGCCCGGGGCAGCCGGGGGCTTTGGCGCATCCGCCGGGCAGGCTGCTAGGGAGCCCCGCGGCTGCTCAGCCTCGCCTCGACGGCTCCGTGCTGAAGTCGGGCAGCGGCGCTCCGGCCTGGGACCCCGCGGGAGCCGGGCTGGGCCAGGTGTTGCCGGCGTCGGGGGCGCCCCGTCCTCCCAGCGACGGCCCAAGCCGGCTACGGGACGGGCGGGAGGAGCTGCTTCGTCCGGTCGCCCGCGCCGGGCCAGTCTTCGCCCCCCGCCGCCCCTCCGCCCCGACCTCGCCGCCCGCCCCACCTGCGGACGGTCTCCGGCTCCTTCGCGCCCCGTGGCCGGCTGCCGTGCACCCGGGCGGCCCGGCCCTTCCGCGGCCCCCTTCTCCTCGCGCCGCTTCCCGGCCGGGAGACCCTCCGGGGCAGCCGCGCCGCTCTCGCCGCCGCCGCGTGAGCTCCCTGGCCAGGGCAGGGGGGAGGGGGCGGCTTCCCCTTCGGGCTGCGACGCCCCGCCGGAGCCGCCGGGCGCTCCTGCCCAGCCGGGGGCGCCGTCCTGGGGCGCAGGGGGCCTGGAGGGGTCCGGCCAGGCTGGCAACCCGCGGAAAGCAGCCCCGCAGCCCGCCCCCCTCCCGCGGCTGCAGGGTCCGGCAGCCCCGCGCGCTCGCTGCGCCCTCAGCCCGCCCGGCGTCCGGCACGGCGAAGGAGCGGAGCTGCCCAGGCTCTGGCGGCGCTGGGGGCGTCTGGCGGTCTTTCCAAGGGGCGAGTCCGGAGCGGGCCCCCCCCGCCCTTTCCGGACCCCGGTGGGCGCCCGAGGCGCCTCTCCCCCCTCCCGCCCCGCCCCGCCCCCATCCGGCAGGTGGGACCGACGCCCTCGAGGGAAGCGCGGGGCTCCGCTTGGCCCCAACCAAACCTCAAACTTCAGACTAACCTTCACAGGGATGGACTTCAAATCCCAGGATTCCCCAGGCGGCAGCTTCAAGACTTGGGGACCTCAACGAGTCTTTCCCTTTTTTCTCGCTCTTAAAACCAGTTGTCTCCAGGAGACGCCCCCGAGTGCAGAATGGGCAGCTCCTGCCCTCTAGTGGCCACTGGTGGGAAATACCCGGGAGACCCTTTGAACGTTTAGACTTCCTTGAAATGGAAAGTAGGGCGGAGGGCGGAGGGCGCGGGGGGGGGGGCAGCAGCGCATTATTGCCCCTCCATAGAAGCCCATTTTGGCTGATCGAAAGTTTGCGTTCCGACGGGCCTGGGTTTTTGTGCAATCACTTCTATATCAGTAGCTGGCGTTTTGTATCCTGTACCGTTGGTTGATGCCTAATGCATTTTGTACGATATCTTAATTGCCTGCCTTTGTGTCGATAATTCGGCACGCAGTGATGTTGCAGAAATGGCAAAATTCACTAAAGAATTTATCTAGTTTTCTTTCAACTTGGAAATCGCTGCTGGGCTTTTTGCTCAAAAGTGAAAGAAACATGAAACTTTTGATTGTATTTTTGATGATTAGAACCAAATTTGTAAGTATAGAAACGGTTTGAAATGTCGTCAAATGTAAAACAAAAGGCTGGGGGGTTGTTTTTGTAAACCACTGCACCAAAGAAAGTCAGAAGTCATTAAAACGAATAAAGTTATTGAAAAGAGCCAAGAACCTAATTGCTTTTACACAACGCTCAGTGGCTGTCCTGCTCCACATAGAGCCTCTGATGAACATGGGCAGTCCTCGACTGACAACGGTTCATTTAGTGACCAAAGTTGCAACAGGGGTGAAAAAACTAACATGATCATTTTTCACCCAACCATTGGAGCACACGCGCACACACACACACACACCCTGGTCACCTGATCAAAATTTGGACCCTTGGCAGCTGACTCATATCTATGACGGTCACAGAGTCCCGGGGTCATTTGATCCCCTTTTGCAACCTTCTGACAAGCCAATTCAACGGGGAAGAACCCGGATTCACTTCACAACCGTGTTACTAACTTAAGAACTGCAGTGATTCACTTAACAACTGTGGCAAGAAAGGTTGTAAGTTGAAAACTGCCTTACGGAGTTTAGGTTTTGAGCCTTTGATGTCTCCTTCCGTTCTTTGCTGATTTGCTAAATTCTGGGGTTCTTTGATAAAGTTGCTGGAGAGCAGGTGAGAGAGAAAGAGCCTGGGGGGGGGGGGAAATGCACCTGGGCTTGAACACCTGCAAAATCACCAGGGTCTCCAACATTCCCACGAACTGATCAAAAAACAAGAGGCCAGCTTGGCAAGATCCTGGTACTTCTTTGCCTCCTCCCCCCCAATTTCTTCAAAGTAACCCACAGGGGATTGGCCAGATCCCAGGACCCTCCCTCAGATGCACTGCCCCCACCTGTGAAATGGCCTGTTTCAAGAGTCAGGATTTATTTGTATCTCACTTTCTTATTGCAAATAATTCAAGGCGGTGAACATATCCAACACACCTTCCTTTTCCTATTATACCCCCCATAACAACACGCACCGTGAGGGGGATCGGGCAGAGAGGGGGACTGGGGCACAGAGAAACCCTCAGAGTGGATTTCCTGGTTGAGATAAACTTTAACCTCATTTTTCAATTTCTCGGAGGTTTTTTGTGCGTAAAATTGAACCAAAATGGGTGTTAAAATCTCTCTGCTTTTTTATATTAATGACTATCAACATCTAGCTGTCTTCATTAAGCAGCTCTGCATCGATTGTTCTTGTTTTTTTTTTTTTTGAACATATCTAAAGAATCTTTTTTTTAAAATTCTGAACATTTTGCCCAACCACTCTCAAGCTTTAGCTTTTCTGACACCAACAGCCCCAGCATATTAGCCTGGGCTTCCCATTCCAGTGTGTATCATTTTTATTTCCAGATCTTCCCTAAGACTTTAAGGGAGCCGTGCTGGCATTTAGTTCCGGGTTTAAACTGTCTTCGCCTCTTATGTAATTTTTATATAGTTTTTATGTTTTAATATTTCACTTGTACACCGTCCAGGCCCCTCGGTGAGAGATGAGCAGACTCTAAATTTAATAAATAATTCACACATAAATAGAATGTCTGTATTTTCTCCTTGTAGCCATTGTTTGCGATTGTGCCGCCAATATGTGGCAAAAAGAGCTCCTTTTAGCAGTGCTCTGGGTTGATTACATTGTTTTTGAAGTCCACCACGTGGGATCAACTACAGTGGGCTGCAGGTTCCTTTAAAGCAGTGTTTCTCAACCTTGACAATTTTAAGGCATGTGGACGCTGGCTGTGGAATTCTGGGAGTTGAAGTCCACGTGCCTTAAAATTGTCAAGGTTGAGAAACACTGTTTTAAAACCAAGATCTCCCGGCCACCTGGTTGATTTATTGCTCCTGGGATCCAAGGTCGCTCTTAAAATCAAAACAGCAGCATGCCTTCCCTTCTCCTTTAAGGGACAGCTTCCACCCCTGCACAGCCTCTTCCTTCGCCCACCTCCAGCCAGCACTCTCCTCCCAAGGGGCAGGTCTGGGGGGAGAACAGGGCAGGATGAGGAGCAGGAAGGGCTGTCACCATAGAGTACACAATAGCAGAGTTGGAAGGGACCTCGGAGGTCTTCTAGTCCAGCCCCCCGCTCACGCAGGAGACTCTCTACCACTCTGGACAAGTGGCTGTCCTTCAAAAGCCCCAGGGCTAGAGCAGCCACAACCTTGGGAAGCAAGATAGCCAATCGTTCTCACTGTCAGGAAAGTCCTCCTTAGTTTCAGGCTGGATCTTCCACCCTTTCTTTCTTGTCCTGCCCTGGGGGCCTTTGAGGAGGACCACGCCATGGGAAGGGCAGGGAAGGAGACCCTCTTCGTGGTCCGTTCCCATCAGAGGCTGGCACAGACCAAGAGGAAACTGGCGGCCACCGAGAGCGTCTGCGGTTTCCTGCAGCCAGAGCATCTGAAGTGGATGATGGAAGCAGGCAGGTCACCTGGAGCCCAGCACCTTGCCCGCCTCCTTCAGTTCTCTCCTCCAGGTGAGTCAGCACTGCGGATGGATTGGCAGGTCTTCCCACCAATCATCTTGACCGGGTTCAGGGGCCGCCTGGCCTTGCCTGGTAGGACATGTCCTCCACAAAGAGCAGGGGGGCTGTTGTGGGGGGCTGAAGTCTGGGTCTCGGGACTCTCCTGCCGTAGTCTGGACGACTACGGCTTCATTCCAGCCGCCGGCTTCATTCCAGCCCAGAGGCATTTTTCTATGGGTCGCATCCTCCATCCTCAGACAGCATCCCAATGGCTGAGGTTGTCTGTGCACAGGCAGTGTGGTGACCCAAACACCAGAGTGACCCTGCCTCCCAGTGGGGAGATCCACATGGGGTGGGAACCTCAACCCAAGCAACCCCCCCATGAAAGAAAGACAACATCCATCTTTTTGTATAACTATATTGGTTTAAGAAAATACAGAAATACTGCACAATTGCCATCAGATCAGCAAAGCAGGCCTTGGCAGACCCACCCAACAGCGCCCCAAATTAACAGCACCCCAAATTAAAAGGAGAGGCTTCTCCAAAGAGCTGCTCCCAGTGGTGCCCTTTCCCAGAAAGACGGAGAAAGAGCGAGCAAGCAGAGGACAAAGCCTTGGGTCCAGGTGGAGCACAGAAGAAACCCCCCCCCTCAATCAGCAAGCATCTGCACCAGGCAGGAGCAAGCAGTGGGCTGCTTTATGTTTGGTTGGTGCCCTCCCCTCCTCCCCTCCCCAGCCCCTCAATTTAAAGGCAGGCTGCTGTCCCCACGAAGGAGGCAGGGCGCCCCACAGCAGCCGTGGGTGCTCAAGCCTGCCAGCGTTCCTGAGGAAAGAGGCAGCGCTCAGAAGGGTGTCTCTCTGCGAGGGCAGAAGGGATGAATGGCAGGAGAAAGAGGAGGCTGCCCCAAAAGGGGGGCCGGGGAGACCCCCATGGGAGGCAAGAGCAGAAGTTGGAGAATTGCAGCTGCTTCCTACTCTGGAGAAAGAGAAAGAACCGTCTATTCTGGGCCAACTTTCTGGACAGGGGTGGGGTGGGGCTTCAGGCTTGCCCCCACCAGGCACATGGGACATACCTGGAAGGGGGGGCAGAGGCCATCCACGGGGCGCTCCAGCTCCTCCTCCTTCCCAGGAAGCCAAAGCAGCAACTGGCCAGTGGGAGACATTATCTGCCCTCCTTTTGTGAGACGCCAGGTCCCTCCCCACAAGAGGGTTCGCTTTTCCCAGCAAATTCTCAAGGGGGAAGGGCCCAGGACAGCCCCTCCAAAAGGATGGTGGGGGAGGGATCCCTCCAACGGATCCTCTGGGGCAGGAGGTGTCCAAGGGAGAGACGCTCTGGACTCCTGGGTCAGGAGGCCAGCCACCAATCAACAGCTGAGGAGCATCCGGCTGAAGGACATTACCTTAAGGGGGGGTTCTCAATCTGGGCAACTTTAAGAAGGGTGGACTTCAAGTCCCAGAATTCCCCAGCCGGCAGAGCTTTAAGCTAATGTTTCCATTCCCCTACAGGAGCTACCAAACGGGACTGCTGACCTCGGCTCCAAGCCCAGGAGAAGACCTGGACCTGTCCTCCTGCAGGAGCAGAGTGGGGCCCCTTTTGGAAAGCATAGCTGGCACCTCCCTCTCCCCCCCCCCCACGGCCAAAAGGCAGAGGCTCCGTCTCAAGCAGGAGCTGCAGGCCAAAGACCCGCCTCTCCCCCTGGACTGGATCCCCCAGCAGGGAACTGGGGGCCCTTTTCTCAAGTCATTCCTCGCCATTCTGGAGCCCTGGAAGGCTGTCTGGAGCCCAGGCGCTGTTCCTATGCCGGACACGGGGAGCCCACGTCTACATCCCCTGCCACGGCAAGGCACTCTAGACATGCCCAGGCACCGTGCGCCATTGGTAGGGTTGGGCGAGGGGCCGGGCGGAGAGATCAGCATTGCCACCGAAGCGAAGCGGGTCAAGAAGCATCTAAAGGCGCTTCTCTTCTCCCAAGGGAGGACGGGAAAGGCCACACTGGAAAACAAGGCACTTTCTAACTTTCTGGTAAACATTCCTTGAAGCAAAGAGTGGCTGTAAACTTAATTTCAGCCTAAAACTGTGGCGCAGGCCGTCACGTGGATCGGTTTGGACTGCGGGCCGGCTTTTTTGCAGGGAGAATTGAATTTTGTTAAAAAGCACAAAGTCATCCTGAATGGAACCAGAGATGACTTCTCTGAAACACCTGACTAAAATAAGGATAATTATTGAATTATTATGTTTTAAAGTGTTTTAATGCAGGTATTAAACAACCTGATTTGGGCTGGAGTGGACTGTATGTTTCTCAATCTTGGCAATTTTAAAATGGGTGGACTTCAACTCCCAGGATGCCGCAGTCGCCCATACTGGCTGGGGTATTCTGGGAGTTGAAGTCCATCCACCTTAAACTTGCCAGGGTTGAGAACCCTAGGTTCGATATGGGACATTCCCCATGTATCATTGCAAACCAAAATGGGTTCAGCATGAAAGTGTCCCTTCCATTTTCAAAATGTAAACAAAGGCCAACTCTTGGCTTGTAGTGTCTTCAAGAGAGTTGGACTCTTCCGCTCAAGTGCATGGATTGCCGGGGAGCAAGGCAAGGAGTTAACCATAGTTAGTTAGTGGTTAACACCCTCACAGGGAGATTTAAGTGCATTTAAAGAGTTTAACTCAGAGCAGTGTTTCTCAACCTCGTCAACTTTAAGATGGGTGGACTTCAACATGTTGGCTGGCTAGGGAATTCTGGGAGTTGAAGTCCACCCCTCTTAAAAGTTGATGAGGTTGACAAACACTGACCCAGGAGGAGAAAAACTTTGAAAGGTTTTTTTTTTTGGTTTTTCAAAAAGAAAGCTTTGGTATTCAAGGAAACACACACACCCGTATCCATAACGCCTATTTGCACGCTTTCCCGTACTAGAAGAAAAATATTAAAATTATAGTTCTTCTTTTCTTTTTGGCAGGACTCCTTTTAAAATTTTGTGATACAAAAAAGACCTTTCCCCCCTTCTTGAAAAAAACTCCTGAAGCATCTTCAGTGTGTGTGTATACATATATAGAGAAATTGTGTATAGATATGCAAATGTGTTTATAGAAAATTTTATAACATCAAAAGGAGAGGGACTTCAAGCAGGAAACATCGGACAACTACATGAGGCTACAATTGGATGGTTCCTATGGGGAGAGAAAGAGAGAATACAGAATTACAGAGTTGGAAGGGACCTCAGATGTCATCTAGTCCAACCCCCTGCTCAAGCAGGAGACCCTCTACCATTCCAGACAAATGGCTGTTCAATCTCTTCTTAAAAGCCTCCACTGACGGAGCAGCCCCATCTTCTGGAGGGAAGCCGTTGTACTGAGTCAGGGCTGATCCAGAACTGGGCCTTTCCCAAAATGCCAGGAAGCAAGACGTGGGAGACCCAGATGTGGCTGCTGGTCCAAAATGCTTATGGGGCAGGAACACATTGACCTCCCTGGCCCAGAAGAAAAACAGCTCCTCCCCCAACTAAGACTGTCTTTGTGTGCTCCAACCTCTCTCCAGCCCCATTTCGGCACCCAACATCTGCACAAGTTCCTGAATGCCAGGGAGGAACAGGGGAGACAATTATTAAACCATTTTTCAGAGTGCAAAATGTTTTCAGCTCAGGGGCACTTTGGACGATCACTTCCATTTGCTTGGGAGAACAGAGAGATGGGGGTCCGTGGACAGTGTGCTGGCTGCACAGACTGGCTCTGCCCACTGCACGCCCACGCATGCACAAACACACACACACACAAAGCTGTCCTCATGCCAAACCTCGACACAGGAGTGTCCAGCCCCAAGGAGCCGTCTGAACCCCCAGGTCATCATGCGAGGGGGCGAGACATGATACCCAAACTGTACCTCCCCTGTTCCAGCCACCTCCAAGAGGGTTCCACCAAAACAGAGGGCTGGATGGGAGCTCAGAGGTTTTCTAGTCCAACCCCTGTTCCAGCAGGAAACCTCATACCATTCCAGAGAAGGCATACAGCCCTGGGCACAAAGCCAACTGGGGTTGACTGTTCTCATGGGAACTCTGCAGACCCAGAATGCAACCTCTCAGGGTCCTCAGCCCCCCCCCCCCCCGTGGCACGCTGTTCAGGCTTTCCAAAATGCCCTGGCTGGTGAGCCCTGTGTGGCACAGGAGGTGCCAGGAGGCTCTGGGATGCCCACAGCCAACTCTCTGCCTGCCTGGAGGCATTTTAAAGCACAAAAACCTTGTCACGCACTCCCGGCAAGGGGAGGAGGGGGTGGCCGCTCGCAGAGGGAGGGCTCCCCCCACAAAGCCACCTCTTCCGGGCCAGGACGATGCCTGCCTGCGGGGGCGGCCCCTGGACTGACCTGGTGGCGTGGGCTAGAGCTGCCCAGGATGTAGGAATGGGGCAGGAGGCTCTCCCCGAGGCTGGTGCCCCCACTGCGGTAGCCGTGCGTGACGGTCAGGCTGGAGGAAGAGGAGGTGGTAGACACATTCGTGCCCCCAGATGACTTCTCTGCTGGCCGCCCACATGTGCCACACACCACCGAACGGGAACGCAGGTTGTACTCGCCCGGATCTCCGCTGCCGCAGCTCTGGAAGCAGAAGACAGACGATTAGAGGCAAAGCTTGGCACCATCCGGACCGGGACTCCCTCTGTGGCTGGAGATGTTAGGTTCATATCTGGGGGGTCCTTGGTGCCCTGTGAGCTTTGCTGGTTTTCTTGCAGACGTTTCATTACCCAACTAGGTAACTTCATCAGCACACTGAAGATGTCACCCAATTGCATAATGAAACGTCTGTAAGAAAACCACCAAGCCCAGAGAGCTGCAAGGACCCCACAGTTCAACCCCGAGCTACAAGCATTCTCTTCTATCCGATTTGTATCTTGCAAGGACACGATTCCTCTTGAAACTGGCTGGCTGTGGGGCTTAGAAACCTCAAACAGCCTGGTGTGGAAATTACATCTAATTATTCCAGAAATAAAGAATCAGACTGGAACTGAGGCTAAAGACATTTTTCTATTTAACGTGCTTGTTAAATTTACACACCTGTTAAATGCGCGAGCACCTTAACCAGTTGAATGCTAAACTGACTTTCCAACATTGTCTGAAGTGTCTAATACACACAAAGGAAATACTTCAATTATTCTGATTTCAGGTTTTGATTAAGAGATGTCTATTTCATATTTTTTAAGTACCCCGATACTTGGGAAGATTCCATTTTCTGATTCCAGAGATCCCCTAATATCATTTTCCTCTAGTCCAGTGGTGGCGAACCTATGGCACGGGTGCCAGAGGCAGCACTCAGAGCCCTCTCTGTGGGCACGCGCACCGTCGCCCTAGTCCTAGGCCTTCAGCTGGGTTCTATAAAACCTTTTCGCTTTAGGCCTCCGCCGCCATGTGCAAAAAAAAAAAAAAAAGGTTTGATCAGTCAATTTCAATTTCTCACGGGAAAAAAAAAGATCTTGCAAAGTTGGAATTGATTGATTGAACTTTTTAGTCCCACCCAGTCTGCCGTTACCACCGCAGCCACACCCATCCAATGGGCCAGATCCACCCAATGGGCCACACCCATCCAATGGGCCACGCCCACCCAGCACTCCACGATGCATAAGTGGGTTTTGGGTTGCAGTTTGGGCACTCGGTCTCTAAAAGGTTCACCATCACTGGTCTAGTCTCCAAACAAAGGGACAGGCACCCAGAGTTGATTGAGTCAGTGACACGGATGGCATATAAATTTAATAAAACAAACGATACATAAATAATTACTGGCTTTACTAAAATTCTTTGCAACCCAAGCAAAAAGAAGTATATAAATATTTCAATTTGTGCACCTGAGATTAATTAATTGTTAAAACTGAGGATTATTTCACATGTATGCTTGCTTTCACTGTCATTCTTTGCAGCTCAACCCACAACTAAAGCCATTTGCATTTTTAAAGACCGCTCCAACTGCTGCTGAGTCATGAGTCAACTCTACGAAGGAGCATGGCTGCAGCCATTATTCCTGCTCATTTTCAGTTGCCACATAGAACGGAGGGAGAGAGTTTGCCAGGTGCTTCACTAGTCAAAATAATCTTTTGTCCTGTGGGAACCAAGGTCAACGGCTGCTCCTGGGACTGCAGGCTGGGCGTTAGGTAAAAAGCCCGCCGAGAAGATGTATTGGGGAACGTAGTTACCTGCATAGCTTTAGGGGTGGGATTTCTTAACTTTGTATTGGGGAATTGTTAGTGTATCTTCAGACTTGGTTTCACTTTTGAGCTGCCGATACTTTGTAACTAATAAACATGTTCTTTGAGGAATTTGCAAGCCTTGGAATTCTGCTTTATTTTTCTCTGTCTGTTGGAACCATGACATCATGCTTGCTAACCCGGCCCCCGAGGAGCAAGCAGATGCCCCCCTCCCATCCCCCCAAACTCACATGGTGATGTTGGCCGTGGCTGCTGCCATCCTCATCCTCCTTTTTATCACCGTCATTCTCCATAACTGAGCGCACCAGCTTCCGCATGGCCACCTCCTGGAGAGAGGGAGGGAGGGAGAGAAAGAGGAAGAAATGGGAGGGCTGATACTGGGCCATCCCAGCGCAGCAGGATTTGGGGGGGCAGCAGCCGGGCCGGGAAGGAAGACAGGAAAGCAGGCGGGCAGGCAGGAAGAGCGCCTTGCGCCCAGGGCCATCCTTAGCGAAGCTCCAGGCCACAACGTGTGTTCCCCACACCAGGAGGGGAAAGCCCCTTCCGTGCTGGCACCAAGAAAAGTGCAAGGATGTATCCACTGACAGGTTAGTCCCTGGGGTCCCATGTGACGCCCCCTCCCCTTGCTTATTTGTTTTGACAGGCTTATGAATTGTTTCAGAATTAAAGGGGAATGAAAAAAGTCACAAAGGCATCATCCTGATTTCCAGAATTTATTTGGCGGGAAGGGGAATTTTTAGGAAAGAAAATTGGGGGGAGGGGGGCCTACATCCACCAGATGAGGAAAAGAGGCAACCAGGAGAGTAGCCCCCAGACATTTTACAATTATGCATCCATAATAGGCCATTTATTTTTGTGTAATTATAACTCCTCCTATATTTCTAACTGTTTTTCTATCTCTGTTTTTATTGTATTTGTAGGCCATCCTGGGATACTGTCGAGCCCCACGAGGCTGATCTGTTCGAGCAGGAGGGAAGCCGGGTGCTACTCGGTCGCCGCCCAGCCGCCCCTCGCCTGCTCTGCCGCCAATCAGCAGCCCTCGCCATTGCAGTCCTAAGACGCCTCGCGGGGCCGACATCTGCCGGCTGGGAGGGAGCCGCCGTTGCGCCTCCCGGGGCCGTCACCTGCCGGCTGGGAAGAGGCTGCCGTCGCTGGCTGGTGCCGGCGTGCGGACAGATCTCGGAGCTGGCTGGAACTGGGAGGCGCTGACATTCCGGCCGTTTCGCTGCTCATTTAGGACCGGATGTTGGCTTGAGGGGTGGGACAGGACTTATGAGGGTGGGGTGTGTGCGCGTAGCCCATACAAGGCACTGGGGGCATTTTACTCCCAGTGCTGACTTAATCATTGTACGGAGTGATTAAAACTGCCGTTTGTCTCCCGTTCCTGTTTGCCAGCTTTTCTTCGAGCACCAAAAGGACGACCTTGACAGATACTCTGGACAGCGTGATTAATTACGCAATACAGAGGTAGATTAATTAAATTAATTAAACAAATAAATAATGCTCTACCCCTTTGCCCACCCACCCCTGAGTGCCAGCCCCCTTACCTCCCCGCTGGAGGTGAGGAGGGCGGTGCGCAAGCTGTCGCCGGAGCCCCATGAGCTTTGGTTCTTCCAGACCATGTCCGTGGGGGGGTTATGGGACACCCCCGCGCCAGCAGCCCAGATCTTGCAGGAGGAGAAGGAAGAGAAGAGGTCAATCACCCTTGCAGAGCAGCTCCCTGCGGCTGGCACAGGCACCAGAGGGGTGGAGGGCTCCTCCTGTCCCCTCATGCCCCCTGCCGCTTCTCCCGACCCGGGACCCCAACCGTTCCTGCCCACCAAGCCCACCGCTGCTGCTCACCGTAACCAGCTGGCCGGCCTTCAAGGTGAATTTGGGAGGGAACCTGTAGCAAATGGGGGTGTCTTCTCCATTCTGGCGCTTGATCTGCCAGTTTCCCAGGGGCTGGTCCTAAGAAGGCACAAAAGAGGAGCCGTGGCAGGCATCTACGGGGGTTGGGTGGCCCAAGGGATGCCAGGCCAGCCAGGGGGCTGGGCTAGCCAAAAGGGAGGCAGTTCTGAGGTTTTCCTAAGCTGACCCCATTTCGCCTCCACCGATAACTGAGACTCGACCACTCTGCTCACCCGGAATCTGCATTTCTTCAGCATGTTTATGGAGATCTTCAAGCATGCAGGTCATAGTTGTTCCAAAGGGTTTGTTCAAAAGGCCACTGGACGTCTCCTCTTCCTTGAATGTGTTTTGCTTTTCATCCAAGAAGCTTCAGAACTGAAGAAGCTTCTTGAATGAGAAGTGAAATGTTTGTGAGGAAAAATGTTAAGAAAGTCCAGTTATCTTTTGAACAGCAGCTTTGGGACATTTTGGGGGAATCTATTACTCAAAGTTACAACTATTTTGTTCCAGGGAGAATGTCTCCAAAGACTATGAAGTTTCAGTCCCGAAGTACATGCATTTTAGGAGAGAAGTGCCTGCAGCTCTGTATTTGGGGGCTGAGCTTTGAAAACACTGCAAACAATTGCAGGAACATGTCAAAAGAATCATCACACACACACACACACACACACACACACACACACACACACACACACACACAATCTTAAAGTGAAATTGGAAGACTTTCTCCAGATTGGTCCCAATCTCAAAGAGCTGCAGCCAGCTCCTCCTCTAAGTTGTCCATCCCTGGCTTTGATGATTAGAAAAGAAATAGAAGATAGAAAAATGTTAAGTAAATGTTAAGTAATCAGGGAGTGAGAAATTAATTTACATCTGTACTTAATAACTCTTATAAGAGAAAATCTGAAGCGGCTTCTTTATGTTTTCTTTTTCTTTTTCTTCTGCACTCTTGTCCTTGTCTTTTTCTTCTTTTCCTCTTTTCTTTTCTCTTCTCTCTTTACTCTGTTAGTTCTTGCTGGTTTTTATCTTGCTTCTTCAAAACTTTAAGAAAGTTTTTATATAAAAAAGTTCTCCATCCCAGTGAGACTTCACTGGTGGGAGCCACAAAGCACAGCCAGCTCTCGGAAGCTGGGAAGGCAACCTGCATCCTGCCAGGTACTTCGGCTCTAGCAGAATCCAGCCATCACCGCTTACAATTGCAAACTCAAGGAAACCCTCAATGTGTTCAGAGGGAGGGAAGCCCTCTCCTTTCCCAGGTTTCTGATGGCTGGCCGGGGGGGGGGGGCTCCGCTCAAAAAGGGAGCAAGGAGGCCAGAACAAAACCTAAATTGTGGGGTCCTTGGTGCTCTCTGAGCTTGGTGGTTTTCTTGCAGATGTTTCATGACCCAACTAGGTAACATCACCAGAGCAAACACGTCCCCTATGGCAGGCAGCATCAGATAAGCAGACAAGCAAGCAGAAAACAATGTAGGAACCACCAAAGAGAACCCCCCCCTCCCCAGAATCACTGGCGGGGCAAACTACTGTTCATAAACACAGACCAAACCCCACTTCCTTCTAACACTGATGATGTTACCTAGCTGGGTCATAATGTCTGCCAGAAAACCACCAAGCTCAGAGAGCACCGAGGACCCCACAGTTCGAGACTGAGCTGCAGAGATTCTCTGCTATTAAAACCTAAGTTGGGCTATCTTCCATTTATCATGGAGTTGGGTGGCCCATACATTTAAATAAATAAGTAAAAAAGCTCAATCTTTAAACTAGAGTAGGATTTATTATTCCTAGCACAGCTGCCCTCCACTCTTACGCATCACTTCCCTTTTCTTTCCCATCGGATGTTTACGGGGCCACCTTAAAAAGAGGCTGCACAGGACCTTGGGTGAGTCCACTCTACAAAGATATGACTGCCTCTTCCAGCTCCATAGGTCACTGCTAGTAGAATCAGTTTATGCCCTCCAACCCACCGACTCCAGGTCTCAGACCCTCAACTTTAATAATAATAATACTAATAATAATAAAGTTGGAAGGGACCTTGGAGGTCATCTAGTCTGACCCCCTGCTCAGGCAGGAAACCCTATACCATTTCAGACAAATGGCTGTCCAGTCTCTTCTTAAAAACTTCCAGTGTTGGAGCATTCACCGCTTCTGGAGGCAGGTTGTTCCACTGATTAATTGTTCTAACTGTCAGGAAGTTTCTCTTTAGTTCCAGGTTGCTTCTCTCCTTGATTAGTTCAGAATCCAATTATATTTCATCTCTAGTTATCAACTATAGAAAACCCCATTTCTGCCTTCTCTGGATTCTGTCATACCATGAAGGGAAGGGGGTGAACAAAGGGGCTTTATGGCCCTCACTTCCGGGCCCTGCCTGAGTTGACACACGAACCAGTGATATCATTGGCTACAGCCAAGAAGCAAATGGGGTGTTTCAAGTGCAGAAGAGAAGGGCATCGAGCTGTAGAATACCGCTCCAAAGCCCCCCAGCACAACCCAGACAGATCCCCGATCACCAAATCCGGAAAGTCTTCAGCTAAGCCAAAAGAAACTGCCATGAGAATGATGGAAATTGTGGAACCCCCACTTCTGCTCATCAGGGGGAAAGAACTCCAGCCTATACCGCAGGGCCGGTGGACGCCTCAGATGACAGCTCAGAGGGCGAACCCCTGGTAAGTGGACGCATCGCACCCATCCTCAAGACAGTGACTATATTAATTCCCGCCATGACCGAAGCCGTGAAGGTGAAAGCCTTAATAGACTCTGGCTGCACCTGCTGCCTCATTAGCCCGACACTAGTGGGGAATCTGGGCATTCCGTCGAGGAGACTGGAACAACCAATCTCATTTGGCCAGTTAGATGGATCCATAGCAGGGGGGGTGCCCGCTACCCTAGCCACTCTACCAATACACCTCTCCCTGGGCAAACATGAGGAGGACATAACATTTGTGGTGACCCCAGGCATGGAATGCCCAATGATCCTAGGGATGGAATGGTTAAAAAAATGGAACCCCTGGGTAAATTGGAGGATGACAGAAATCAAATTCCCGAAGGGGGACCCTATGGACTTAAAACCCCAAGGGGGGCTACCAGAATCAAGAATAGAAAAAGCATCCATGGGAGAGGAAAAGGGACTAACAGAAATACCAGAGGAATACAGAGACCTTGCTGAAGTTTTCAGTGAGGAGAGGGCGGATGAGCTCCCCCCCACCAACCCACAGACTGTACCATTGAATTCAAGCCTGGGGCAAACCTCCCGAAGCCCAGATTATACTCCATGAGCCCAAAGGAGAAGGAGGAAATGGAAAGATTCATTAAAAAAAACCTAGAGAGAGGTTTCATTGAGCCAGCCAAGCCTAACGTGGCTGCCCCGGTCCTCTTTAGAGAGAAGAAGGATGGCTCTTTACGCTTATGTGTGGATTATAGGGCCCTGAATACTATCAGTGAAAGCAACCTATACTCTCTGCCCCTCATGAAAGACATGCTGTCACACCTCTCGAAAGGGAAAAAATTTTCTAAACTAGACCTAAGGGAAACTTACTATCGTGTGAGAATTAAGGAAGGGGACGAATGGAAGACCGCATTTAACTGCCCCATTGGGTGCTATCAATTCAAAGTCTTGCCATTAGGATTACAAGGGGGCCCTGCAGTCTTTATGCAATTAATCAATGACGTTCTAAGGGAGCACCTGTTTAAGGGGGTCCTTGTTTACTTGGACGACATTCTTATCTTTACTGAAACAAAAGCGGAACATGTCAACCTTGTCAGAGCGGTTTTAAAGAAACTGCGAGCCGCCCACCTGTATGCCAAACTCTCAAAATGCGAATTCCACCAGGAAAGGATAGACTACCTAGGCTATCGCATATCCCCCCAGGGCATTGAAATGGACCCAGAGAAGGTCAGAGCAGTATTAGATTGGGCACCACCCCGCACAAGAAAGCAACTACAAAGTTTCCTGGGCTTTGCAAACTTTTACCGCCAATTCACCCCCTCATTTGCCCAGATAGCCTTGCCCCTCACTAACTTACTAAAAACGAAGGGAGCATCCTCAGTAAAACCTAGCCAGCCACTAACATGGACAATGGAGTGCCAAGCAGTGTTTGAGAGACTAAAGAGAATTTTTTCTGCCGAACCAGTACTAAGGCACCCAGACATGGATAAGCCCTTCGTAATACAGGCGGATGCAAGTGATGTGGCAGTGGGGGCTGTTCTATTACAAGAAAACGATGATGGAGTATTGAAACCCTGTGCATATACATCCAAGAAACTCACGGAAACAGAACAGCGCTGGCCCGTATGGGAGAAGGAGGCATATGGGATACGTTGGGCATTACTCACGTGGCGACAGTTCCTGGAAGGCAACAAAATCCCCTTCCAGGTGTGGACTGATCACAAAAATTTGGAAGTCCTGAAAGCGCCCAGGAAACTCAATCCCAAACAAGCCTGCTGGTCCCAGCATTTTCACCAGTTCCAATTTAAGCTCAAACATTTACCAGGGAGAAAGAACTTCCTAGCAGATGCATGCCCCAATATAACAGCATGCGAGCCACAGACTCTAAACCAATGGTGGCAGAGTCACAACTGGCAGCACCAGTAACCACAAGAACCCAAGCTAAATTAAAACCACAACTGGACAGCCAAACTGGAATTGAATTCCGGAAAAGTTTGGAAACAGATGAATGGTTCCAGAAAAGCAAAAATGTGTGCACAATGAGAGACGGGTTGCCTTGGGTAGGGGAAAAGTTATATATACCAACAACCCAAAGAATCACATTCATGCAGCTTTGCCATGACACAAAATCAGCAGGGCATTTTGGATTTGTAAAAACTTTACATTTAATTTAATGGCAATTTTGGTGGCCATCCATAAAAAAGGACATAGAAAGCTACGTAGCCAGCTGCCCAAAGAGGTTGCACGGGAAATTGCCAGGACTATTACAAACAGTGGCAAATCCCTCAGCCCCCTAGAGGGAAATAGCCATGGATTTTATAGTGGAATTGCCAGAAAGCAATGGGAATACTGTTGTCTGGACGGTCACGGACTTGTTTTCCAAACAGGTGCACTTTAT